GAACAGAAAAATTTCAAAAGGAGCATTGAGAAGCAAAAATCAAATATAATGAAATGTGCAAAGACCTGGATTTAGAAAACCAACAAAGAATATGTTCAACATTTCACGCTGAAAGAACTGAATAAAAAATTCAAGCCATAGGTTGCAATATTGAAGGTTTCTCTTAGAAAAACACTTGAATGATGCAAGAAGCATAAACAGATGCTTGGAATACATACAGTCACTGTACCAAAAAGAATTTCTTGATGCTTAATCATTGTAAGAGGTACCATATGATCAGGAATGAATGATACTGAAGGAAGAAGTTCCAGCTGCACTGAAGCCATTGGCAAAAAACAAAGCTCCAGGAATGCAAATTGAAATGGTTCAACAAACTGATGCAGCACTGGATGCACTCATTCTTATAAGTTAGGAAATGTGGAAGATAGCTAGCTACCTGACCAACCAATATGAAGGGATCCAAATTTGTGCCCATTTCAAATAAAGGTGACAGAACAGAATGATGATTTAATATCACATTCAAGTAAAATTTTGCTGAAAATAATTTTAAAACTATTGCAACAGTACATCAACAGGGAGCTGCCAGAAATTCAAGCTGAATTCAGAAAAGGGTGTGGAACTAGGGATATTACTGTTGATGTCAGATGGTGTTGGAGAGAAAGCAGAGAATATCAGAAAGATGTCTACTTGTGCTTTATTGACTATGCAAAGGCTTTTGATAGTGTGGCTCAATACAAACTATGAATAACATTGTGAAGAATGGGTATTCCAGAACACTAAATTGTGCCCATGAGGAAACTGTACAAAGACAAAGAGGCTGTTATTTGAACAGAATAAGGACATAAGAAATGGTTTTAAATCAGGAAAGGTGAGCACCAGGGTTGTATCCTTTCACTATACTTCTACAATCTATATGCTGAGCACATACTCAATTAGGCAAATCTTCTCCCATGTAAACCACCATTTAATTCACAATAAAAACTTGAGAAAAAAGAAAAAAAAAAAATGACTTCCAACTAAAAGTCCGGGCCCAGATGGCTTTACTGGTGAATTCTATCAAATATTCAGAGATGAGCTGCCACCAAATAGATTCAAACTATTAAAAAATACAGAAAAGGAAGGAAAACTCCCAAATCCATTTTATGAAGCAAGCTCAACCCTGATACAAAATCAGGGAGACATCACTAAAAAGAAAATTATAGACAAAATCCTTCATGAACATAGATGCAAAAATTCTCAACAAAGCCCAAGCCAGAAGAATCCAACAAAACGTATCAAAAAAATGTAAAACATCATGATCAAGTGGGACTCATACCAGATATGCAGAGGTGACACCTTGAGTGGTGCTGTAGGATCAGCACTGCACTGCAAACCACAAGGTCAGAAGTTTCAACACACTGACTGTTCCTCGGACACCCTATATACAGTTGCTGTGAGTTGGAACCATCTTGATAGCACTTACCAACAATAACAACAATCAATATAATCCACCACAAAACAAAGGAAAGAAAACACATGATCATATCAACTGATGTTGACAGAGTACTTGACAAAACCCAACACCCATTCCTGATAAAAACACTCAAAAAACAGGAATAGAACGCAAATTCCTCAACATAATTAAGGGCATATATACAAAACAAACAGCCAACAGCACTCTGAATGGACAGAAATTAAAAGTAGTCCCTTTGTGAACAGGAACCAAACAAGAATTCCCTTTATCACCACTCCTATTCAATACTGTGCTGGAAGTCTTAGCCAGAGGTACAAGGCAAGAAAGTGAAGTTATAAGTATCCAAATTGGTAAAGAAGAAGCAAAACTCTTTCTACTTGAAGATGATATGATCCTGTACACAGAAAATCCCAAAGGCTCAACAAGAAAAATATTGGAACCCACTGAAAGATTCACCAAAGTTTCAGGGTACAAGATCAACATATAAAAATCACTTGCATTGAGCCTTTGTAGTATATAGGACCTTAGGTAGAATCCTGAACCCCATCCAGAACATTCTGAGGTGGGACATTCCCACTTAAAAGCACAAGCAGACCAGTCAGGAACAGCTAGAGTAACAAAAGACTTCTTGAAAGACAAGCAGAAAAAATCCACAACAAAAATGGTGGTTGAATGGCCACTACAAGAATGAATGAGCAAGTCGCTCGCCTGGAAGCCATCCATCAAGACAAGTAATCAATTCCTTTCAGGACAACGCCCCCTCCAAGACTGAAACTCAAAGTGAACACATGGGCAGGCATGTAAGCTTGCTGGCGACCACAATGGTTTATCGGTAAGCAGAAGAGGGGGAAAGGTAGAAATGAAGAAATGGGCTGAGTTCAACCACGTTCCATAGACTCCCGTTGACCTGGAGATGAAAGAGAGAAGAGGAAAGACTGGTCAGTTCAAAGTGTGGTTTGACCAGGGGACCCCTCAGCCCATGGACAAAGATAGCCTCAGAGGGCTACAACTGAGAGCAAAGCATCCAGCTGATATGAAGTAAGGGGAGATACACAAAAACGCCCAAGCTTGTACATAGTACCCACTTGACCTAGCTTTGATGGCTTGATAATCAGAACTCAAATAGAGGAAGATTTAAAAAAAAAAAAAAATGTTAATAAAGGAACAAGTGTAAATTGCTACAATTTGATGAACTTGACCTATACTTATGGATGCAGTAGCTCAAAATACCAACTGAGCGGGAAGGAGTCTTCACATCAAGGATCAATCCTATCCCCTCTTCATATAGGATTGAATGGGATGGGCAAGGCACAAAGTGACTGGTTTACAAGTTTTCAAGAGGGAGTTTAGTTTCAGAGTGTACAGGGTAAGGCAGAATCCCCACTGAATAGTTTTCATCTTGTCTAGACGGATCTGGTGAAAAGAGATGGGAATAAGATTCTTATGATTTGACAGTGAGTAATTGTTACCATGACTAATTGCGACTGTCACAACTGTAAAGGTAGAAGTTTTGTAACAAAAAGCGGGGAGTAGTTAATCTTACAGTCCAGGAACAGAGGACCCTAGGACTACCAAGGTAGAAGAGCACAAGCGGAATGTGGAACCTTATCCAGAGAAGCAGCGACACCAGAGATGGGGGCAGAGATGAAGACATGGAAAAAGTGAGCAGCTGAGGACTCATGGAAAAAGAAAGGCTGTGTGCTGGCTGCCTGGTGCTGGTGGTCAGGAGGCAATCCAGCAAACCTTTGAAATCAGCCCTTCTCCTTCCTAAGATCCAGCAGTATTCTGACCTAACGTCCCTCCTAACTTTGACTTCGTCTAAGCTTCCCTCTGCTCTTTCACTTGGCCATCTCTGACTGACCTTTTAAATTTGAATTCAAAAAAGACCTGATACTAGCAATAACTCAGTAATATTTTTGGTGACAGTATATAGACATATATGACCATCTTTTTCCTTTGTAAATTATTATATTGTTTCAGTCCTCAAAAACAATTATCACCACATTTCATAATATAGTCTATTGTCAACTTATTTTTCAATCATTCAGTTGTTAAAATTATTTGTGGTCTTATTGAAATAACAACTACTAACATTTATTATTTATTTATAAAGCATCAGGCTCTGTTGTAAGAGTTACATATACATTAACTAATCTTCACAACAATCCTGAGGTATGTAGTTTTATTATCCCCATTTTATTGACAACAAAATAAACACAGGCAGCTTAAGTAACTTGCAAAAGGCCATACCTGCTGGTAACAGTAGTGGGAACAAGATTCATGCCCCGGAAGTCTGACTCCAAAGCTCATGTTTTCTACTAGCATGAAGCTGACTCTGAGACAGCTAATAATGTTAATTATTGGTGTTGTATGGCAATATGATATATGGCAATCCAATCATCTAACACATTAATTTTTTTCTTTTGTTTACAACAATTACTTTATAATATACTTTGTAGTTAGTTATACAGAGTAGTACCTTGTTCTGAACACTGGACTGCTAACCACAAAGTAAGCAGTTAAAACCCACTAGCCTCTCCTCAGTAACTCTATACAGGGTTACTATGAGTTTGAATTCACTTGACAACCTTGAAAACAACAAAATATGTGTTGAAATATGTATTAAGTCTTATGTCTATTAATATAATCTAATTAAGAAATCGTTTTCTTTGTTATGGTAGTGATTCCGTATCACTGTAGGGTGTGTCTTAAGTCAATCACTTTTTGGATATAAAAGAGCAGATTAGATACAGAAGCAATGAACTCTGTCACATGATGGTTGCCAAAGAACAGAAGTTGAAGGGAGACAAAAATCTAACCACAGAGCTGACAGAGAAAGCTTTCCCTAGAGCCAGTGCCCTGAATGAGAACTTCTAGCCTCCTAAACAGTGATAGGACAAGTTTCTGTTCATTAGAGCCACGTACTTGTGAGGCTGCTATAACAACACTAAGAAATAGGACACACTTCATGATGGTATTCTGGTATTTTTGAACATTTATTCTTCCAAACACATTACAAATTCATTTGCAAAAGAAATGCACTCACTAACTGGTAGCTTAAATAGTTAAAAAGAATAAAAAGTAACCAAAATCACAAAAGAAAATGTATTCAATTTTCAAACTGGAACCTCTGGCCTAATCAATGAGAAAAGCGTCATTGACTTGTTTGATAACTCCAACCTCTCTGTCACAAGGCATACTCTTTATATGGATAGCAGAAAATAATTTTGTTTAATGGGAATAAGAATAGACAAATTCTAGAGATTATTCATGATGATGAGGCATTGCTGAGGAGCCCTGGTAGCCTAGAGGATTATAAACTGGGCTGCTAACCGCAAGGTCAGTAGTTCAAATCTATTACACTGGAGAAAGATGAAGCTTTCTGCTCCCATAAAGATTTACAGCTTCAGAAACCCTATAAAGGGCCTCTATGAATCACAGCTGATTCGAAAGCATACAACTACCACCACCACCAGGTACTGTTTAAAAAAGAACAACAAAAAACAATGCTATTAATTACACCTAAAAATAATAAAGTTTATCAAACCTGCAAATTCTGAAGTGGTGTAGCTGGTATTTGCTGCTGGAAATAGGAAGGTTGACTATAAGGTGTTGACAACTGACAAGTGGATAGAAAGTCATTCTTTACAACTGGCGTTCTAAAACTAGGAAAGAAATTATATTCATTTAAAACATTAAAGTTTAAAAAACAAAATATTGATTCAAATGATATATGATTTTAAAAGGTCGATATAAACACAAAATCAAACAGAACTCAAGTTGGCTTTCAGTATATAGCCAATATTTACTCGTTCTACATCACCCAAAATTTTACTTGGGAAATTCTTTCTGAAAGTAATATTTTTGTCCCCAGACAAGAAATTTTTGTTAGTTAAAATAAATGGCATTTAAAAATATGGACATGTTGTGCTTATTCCATGGTACCACACCAAGACTCCATTTATGCATGTGTGTGTTTTGGCAGTTCAAACACACCAGCTGCTCCTTGAAAATCTCACACAGGGTCACTAAGAGTTGGAACTAACTCGATGGCACTTAACAACAACATATATGGAGTACTGGTGTGGCACTAGACTGCAAGGTTGGTTTGAACCACAAGGTCAGTGGTTCAAACTTACCAGACACTTCTTGGAAACCCTATAAAGGGTCGCTATGAGTTGGAATCAACTGGATGACACTTAACAACAACAACACACACACACATATGAATTTAGCCAAATCAAAGGTCAGCATATGGTTGACCATTGATTTTATGAGGACTTTTTTTTTTTAAATGATGACTATATTACTATTTTAGAATATTTTAAGTATAATAAAATTAAGCAATACAAGGATAAGTCAAAGACTATTGCTTTCAGGGTTATAGTTCATTCAGGCACAAATTTATTACAAACAAACATGTTTAAACAGATTTCTATGATCAGCAAACAGCTGCAGCCAAGTTCTCTCAGTAATACTCTTGTCTTAGTATAATTAGAGTGCCTTCAAAGAAAAGGTGCTATCGAAGCATTGGCTTCCAAAGAGATCTGCTGGGCCAGTTAAATTCAAGAGAGGTTAGTTCAGAAGGTTATGCGACTGTTCTCGAAGGATACAGTACAATCATGAGGGCTTATTAAGAAGAAATTGTAAGAAAATAGAAAATTGTATCAGTGAAAAAAGGCAAGAAAAGTTGCATCAAGTAATTATTTTCCATCATGACAGTGCACCTGATCATTCTTAAAATAGCAAGGGCTGTCCTATGAGAATTTCACTGGCAAACTTTACCCCAGCATCTTTCATCCTTGATCTTGTCCCTTCAAAGAACATTTGAAGAGCACAAAATTCTTTGGAGAAGGGTTGTTAAGTGCTATAGAGTCGACTTCGACCCATAGCATCCCTGTAAAGGGTTTCCAAGGAGCAGCTGGCAAGCTTGAACCGCTAACCTTGAAGTTCAAATGGCTTTGCAGTCTGGTGCATTAATCTACAGTGCCACACCAGGACTCCTGGGAAAGGGTTAGAGAGTTGGAAACCACCTTCAGAAATATATAGATTTATACAGAAGATATGGTGAGATATAATAGGTCACGTTTTGATGTTTTCTGCTTAATATAAGTTTCTATGATTTTGTAGCAATACTTGTGATTAATCCTTGTATATCTAAGGCCAGTTTTGAGTTTAAAACAGTATTATTGTGAAAATGAAAACAAATTACAGACCTAACTTATCTTCAAATACACGGAAAATATATTTTAAAAAAATAGCCACCAGTTGAAGATTGTTGTTGTTAAATGCCGTCAAGTCAGTTCTGACCCATAACGACCCTGGTATAGGGTTTCCAAGGAGAGGCTGGTGTGCTTGAACCGCTGACCTTGTGGTTCAAACTGACTTTGCCATCCAGTGCATTAACCCACAGCACCACACAGTTGAAGATTATGATGTACTATGTCCTTTATTTCCTTTCTGTAAAGCATCTACAATTTTCTTTTGTAATATCACCTTTGTTTTCTGTTAGTTGGCATAGACTATTTAACTTCTTTACTAATCTCTTCATTTTTCTTCATTCAAATCTTGTACTTTGAACACTTAGAACTATATATATGAACTATACAACCAATTTTTTCCAGAAATGATCACATTCCAATTAACACATTTGCTATATAATTTCTCCACCCTGTGTCTGTTCTAATAAAGCTAATTTTAATACATTCCAGTTAAAGAGAAGTAACCATTTGACAACGTATGCTTATAAAGAAGTTTATAGCCTTAAGAGTATTTATAGTGTGGCACTATAGGTTAATTTGCTGGACTGCAAAGTCGGTTTGAATGACAAGGTAGGTGGTTCAAGCTCATCAGAAGCTCCTTGGGAATCCTATAAAGGGTAGCCACAGGTCACAACCAACTCGATGGCACTTAACAACAACAGGTATAGACTACAATAAAACAGAGTCTGTTTTTACAACAATCCTTATAAATATATTACTGTAGTCACCTTCCACTCTATTTTTACAGATGAGAAAACCGACACTAAGAAAAGTATGAATTTGAAATCAAATAACAAAGTAGGATTGAACCCCACATCTATTTCATGCCAAAGACCATTTTATTTCTACTGTACCACTCTACCTCCCAAGTTAAGTGTCCAAAGTAATTACCAGTTCATGTAATCATCCATTGTATTGCTGCTTGGTGTCATACAATGAGATTTTGGATCAATCCGTTTAGGAGCTGATATTGGTGGTGACTGTTTTGAAACTGAAAAGGCAGGTTGCTCAAAAGTGGTATGCTTCTTCTAAACCAAATTAAAAAAAAAAAAGTTTAGATTTTTAAAATTATCCTCCTAGCACAATAATTTCATAAACAGTATAACTTCTAAAAACAAACAAAAATAGGAATTACAAAAGCATGCTAACTCAAGTAGGAATATGCACTCCAGATTCCCAAGAACATTTTAGTAAAGCTCTTCACTCCAAATTCTTAAGCCTACTAAATACGGTTCAAACTCATCAAATATAGAAAGGAAAGGCACACTGTATTTTATTTTAAAAATAAGGATGACACGCTTCACAATCAGGGTTATTACAACTAGGCATTGAACTTTTAAAAAGAATTTGTGAGCCTACTAGTACTTCTTATTCCTCTTTCTTGCCCACTTTTGACACCCACTCATCTACACTCGTTGTTGTTGTTGTTGTCGCTATGAGTCGGTTCCGACTCGATGGCACCTGACAACAACAACAACAACAACATCTACACTCTGTAACTGTGGATTTGCCTATCATGGACATTTCCTATATAATGGAATCAGACACATCCTTTATGACTACTTCTTTCACTTGGTATAAGCTCATGTATAACAGTACTTCATTTGTTGTTGTTGTTGTTGTTAAGTGCCATAGAGTCAATTCTGACTCACAGCCAATCTGTATAGGGTTTCTAAGGAGTGGCTGGTGACATTCAATCGCTGACCTTACAGTTCAAACTACTCTATGGTCCAGTGCTTTAACCCACAGTGCCATACCAGGACTCCTCATTCTTTTTATTACTGAATAACATTGCACTGTATTGATAAATTTCATTTTGTTTAAGCATTCATCAAGTTTAGGGATATGTGGGTTGTGTCTACTTTTTAGCAAATATGATAAAACCTGCTAAGAACATTTTTATAGATGATTTTGCATGGACATGTTTTAAACTCTCTTAGGAATATATGTAAGTGTGGAATTACTTAGTCACATGGTAACTGTATGCTTAACAACTTCAATCTTTTCTACATTTATATGGATGTTCTTTATTGGTCCAGTGGTAAGGATTTTTTGCTTTCTTTACACTGAAGTGCAACACATACCGAAGGTTGTGGTCTTGGATCTTCATTAGTTGTTTTAAGTTTTCTTTACTTTCAGCAAGCAAGGTTGTATCATACACATATATCAGGTTGTTAATGAGCCTTCCTCTTACCCTGATGCCACATTCTTCTTCATTAAATCAGCTCCTTGGATTACGTGCTCAGCATACAGATTGAATAAGTATGGTGAAAGAATACAATCTTGGCACACACCTTTCTTAATTTTGACCCATTCAGTTTTCCCTTGTTCTATTCGAACAACAGCCTCTTGGTTTAGGTACAGGTTCCCACAAGCACAATTAAGGGATTCGGAATACTCATTCTCCGCAATATTTGTCCGTAGCTTCTCATGATCTGCACAATCAAAAGCCTCTGAATAGTTAATAAAGTACAGGTAAATGTCTTTTTGGTACTGTCTGCTTACAGGCAAGATCCATCTGATGTCAGCAGTGATATCCCTCGTCCCATATCCTCGTCTGAATCCGGCTTGAACCTCTGGCAGTTCTCCGTCAATGTATGGTTACAGCCATCTTTGTATAATCGTTAGAAAAATTTTACTTGCATATGATATTAATCATATTGTCCGATGATTCCTGCATTCCATTAGGTCACCTCTCTTTGGAATTGGCACAAATATGGGTATCTTCCAGGTTGTTGGCCAGGAAGATGTCTTTCTAATTGCTTGGCATAGTTCAGTGAATAGCCCAGTGCTGCAGCAATTTGTTGAAAGATTTCAATGTGTATTCCATCAATTCTCAGAGCCTAGCTCTTTGCCAATGCTTTCAAGGCACCTTGGACTTCTTCCTTCAGTATCATTGGCTCTTGATGATCATATGCTACACCTCTTGAAATGGATGAACA